GGGAGGGCGGGTCGGGAGCGTGGACCCCGGGCGCGTCCCTGCCCCCCGGAGCGCGCTCGTCTCCCGTGGGGAAGAAGCGGGGCGGCCGCCGCCGTCGGGGCTGCCTGCGCCCGAGCCCCGCTCCGGGGGCAGCGCGTTTCCCTTGCAGACGTGGCCACGGGCGCCGCGAGGTGTCAGCCCCTGCCCGCACGAGCGAGGGCCTCTTGCCCCTTCGGGAACGTGGCCCGCGCAATTCAGACCAATCCTGGAGACCCGGCGGTGATCTCTGCTCTGCAGGGAGCGCCTGTGCTCCGCTTGTATCCATTATTTTAATGAAAGCAGGATTCACACCGCCCAGGGGGGCGGCTTTTCGGTATTTTTTTGCTAGAATGGGCAATGAAAGAAAAAATCGATATTCATAGGCGGCAAAATGCAGGTCCTAATCCAGACGAATAGCCCCGGCCGCCTGCCCCTGCCAAGCCCCCCCGCACCGCTAAATACTAGGAATATATTTCTGTAATTGCTCGAGTGTCTTTAATCTCCACAGACCACGTAACCCCTGGGGCCGCATTCCCCCTGCTAAGCTCCCGCTATCAAAGTATCCAGCAGTCACTACGGGTAGCCTGACCCCGCGTGTGCTCCTTGGAAGAGGCGGAGGGACGGCAGGACCAAGCTCCAGATCTCTGAATTAATAACACGCAAATCGAAATATTGCACAGGCTGAGAGAAAGATTCATTGAACAGGTCCAGGAAAAAGAAAATCCCCAAGTCCTGTCCCCTCAGCCTGGGAGGACAAGCGCTTCCCTGGCACTTCGCGGAAGAGTGAGCTGAGCTAACAAGCCGGTGCAGCACACAGGGGCTTCTTTAGCATATCCAAATATGAGGGGGAGGGCGAGGTGGACAATGCCGTCGCGAGGGGAAGTTTTCGGCATCTTTAACGCTCGGATATGACTGCGCTTCATGACTCTCCCTTTGCTCCCCCATCGCTTGAGCACCATCCAGCAGCTCCTGAACACAAAATACGTTTATAGCCTGGTAAAAGAGAGGCAACCAGATGACCTCCCTGTCTGTTTGTCAGCACCATGTCTAGCTTTACAGACCTGAGACACAAAGCGGATGCAGCTCTCAAGGAGGCTTCATAAACCTTGGCACGGCTTTCTTTTCTTATTTTCAAGTAGCTGCAAGAAAGCCATGCAATGGTTCGTGAAGCCTCCCCCCCCCACAGCATCATCCGCTCTGCGTTTTGCACCATTTTTAATAAATGTTATCACTCACATGTATATGTCTAACAGCCTAGAGAGACCGAAACATCAAACAAAACCTGAGTTTGTCAGAAATAAAGATGTCGATTGAAGTTTTTAATTCCGTACAGGATCGTCCAAGGATGAGGTCAACTTGAGACAAGCTCTCCTTCAACTGATGCAATTATGTCAATAGATGTAATTCCTGCAGGATGACTGCAGTGATCTAATAACACTGATCGCTAAAAACTGACTTGAATTTATTTTTATCTTGTAAAAAAAAATCTTTTGAAAGTTTCATTTCTCTTTTAACTGATGCTCATATTTTCCCTTTTCTAAGACTGTATCCAAAACAAACGCGAGAGGAACATTTTAAAAATTAAATAAACCGATAAAGTAGTCTTAAAAAAAAATCCTGCCCACTTCATGTTTCCGATCACTATCGCACCTGCTGTCTTTTTGTTTTCGTAGTTGCTAAAAACATTTTTTAACGCAGAAAAGCCCATGACAAGACGCGCACTTCTGCGGAAGCATTTCCGTGGGCTTTCAATTTGAACTGTGAAAAAACCAAGAACCTTTCTGTCTGAACACATCGAGCCATGCCTCGCCAGCAGTTTTCCAGAGGAAACCCAGGCCCAGTTCAGATCTGTTTAAAACCTGGCGGCAAAACTTGTGCAACTCCAAGTCCACGCTACGTTATATTAATCTTTAAAATGTTGCTTTATACTTGCGACCCGAATGTGCAAAGAGCAGTTAACACGAAAGCTCCGCGAACTAATTAGCAGTTAAATAGAGAATAGCGCTTTGTGAGCTAATTGGCAGCTAAATAGCATTCAAAAGACCACACTGCAACAGCATAAGCGGCCCTTTAGCATCTTAAATACAAACGCCTCAAACTGTAAAGTACAAAGGAGCCAGGAGAGTGTATTTCATTGCCAAAGAAAAAGGCAGCCTTGATCGATTAGGAAAACGTCTGGTTAGACGGTTTAAAAAGGGCTTTTTAAAAAACAGAGTAGATTTACAAAGAAGCACTTTATCCCCGAAATACGAGTCTCATACGGAGAATATCGTCTACTTTTTTTTATATATATATATCCCTAACAGAGCTCTTAGCACAATATACCACGCATTTGGAAATCACCCGTCTGTATAACAACAAATGTGTCTCTCGGACTGCCAGTCCGGATGCCAGATGCAAACTGCCCGCACTATTGTTTCTGCTAAGGGCGGGAGAGCAGGAGCACGAAGGGCCATTTCAATGTGAAAGTACAGTATCTAGTGCTATTTTTAACTCGCTGTTATATGTATTTTCTAACCCTTAGGTCCATATTTTGAAGAAAATGGGGAGAGAAAAGAGACGCGGGGGGGGCACAAGGAAGTTATAGTTTTGCCGGCGGTGGTTTATTATGAACCGGGGGGAAATTCCTGATTTGATCTCAAAATCTTCATTATTTATATCGGATAAAATACGTCCTCATATTTTTTTCTGATTCCCTTTAAAGCTTTAGCCTAACTAAACTCCCATTCAATGGGATTTATTTAGTCGCTTGAAAGATAAATCAGTGGGTAAATTTACAGCCATTTAAAGTACCTTGACTTTATAATAGGACCTTCATTTAGTGTTGCTCTTCTCCCGAATGACGTGGATGCAAAGTGGTGGGCCAGAGTGCCAATCGATTGGCCAATCCGAGCTGCCCCAGTAGCGGGCTCGTCCAATCGGAGCGCGCTCCTTGCAGGTGGCTGTGCGGTTATCTGTGCATCTTGTACTGCTCGGGGCTCAGCTCCGAGTCAATTTCCCAGGGAAGGACCTGCCTGTGACCACCGGAAAACAGTCCGACCCACCCCTGCGATTCCTCTGATTTCCTAGTGGATTTGCAATCTGGGCGCAGAAACCAAAGCCGCCCAGGACATTGGCAGCCGAGGTCTGTTTTAACCAAGACTTTTTTTTTTTTTTCCCGAGACTCCTTTGCAATATTTGTTTCGGGCTTTTTTTTTTTTTTTTTTTTTTTTTTTTTTTTTTTTT